GCTAGCATCAGTTTCATGATCTATGCTAGAACTACCACTCATTCTTCCTGACTTGTTTTTAACTTTGGTGAGCTCTCCAGTCCTACCTGCTCTGTGGCCAGTCATATGAGCACTTGTGTTAGAACAGACTAGACTATTTCAGTTGGAAGCGTCCTACAACGTCATCTAGTCCAGCTGCCTGACCACTTCAGGGCTGACCAAAAGTTAAAGCATGTTAAGGGCATCGTCCAAACACCTCTTAAACACTGGACGGGCTTGGGGTACTGACCACCTCTCTAGGAAGCCTGTTCCAGTATTTCACCACTCTCTCAGTAAAGAAATGCTTCCTAATGTCCAGTCCAAACCTCCCCTGGTGCAGCTTTGAACCATTCCCACAGATCCTGTAACTGGATCCCAGAGAGAAGGGATCAGCACCTCCCTCCCTCTTCCCCTCCTTGGGAAGCTGTAGAGAACAATGAGGTTGCCCTTCAGACCTCTTTTCTCCAAGCTAGACAAGCCCAAAGTCCTTAGCCACTCCTCACAGCACATGCCTTCCAGGCCTTTCACCAGCTTTGCTGCTTTCCTCTGGATGCATTCAAGGACCTTCACGTTCTTCCTAAACTGTGGGGTCCAGAAATGCACACAGTACTCAAGGTGAGGCCACACCAGTGTTAAATACAGCAGGATAATCAACTCTTTCAACCAGCTGGTTATGCTGTGTTTGACACACCCTAGGATGCAGGTTGCCCTCTTGGCTGCCAGGGCACATATGTTCACGTATGCATCAAGATCTTTTCACGTCTCCAAGCAACAAGAACACTGCTTGCACAGTTTCCTCTACAACTTGCAAAAACTTCTGCAAGCAAACACCCCCCCACCCTCCTCAAACAAAACCAACCCCCAAAAGACCTTCTGGTCAGATATGAAAGGAGAAATACAGCGCTAATAAAACACTTGACCAGATATCTCTGATCAGTAGGGTAATTTGCTATACCATGCTGAAGACTACTGATGGTCAACTAGATGAAAGAATTCACCAAAGACCTAAGTACTTGACATTCACAACAATGTTCATCAGCTCTCAGTTACAGTCCTCCCAATTTTTAAAGAAAGCTTACACCTTTTCACATAGTATCATGTATCATTTTAAAATATTAAAGCTGTTTTGTTGTTGTTAAAAAGAGCACAAGCACAGTGTGACATACATTAATCCCTTGTTTTCCAGACATTGAAAGTGCAAGTATTTTGAGGATAACCTATTCTATCCAAGAATCTATAATGTAAGAAATATGTTTATCCTGTTTCCTCCGAGTTTCAACAGTTATGACTAAGCGCATGACAGAAAGGGGTGTTAACTGAACCTTGAAATATGCCTCAATCAACTTTTGTTTGAACCAGAGTATTGTGTTATTATTAAGCATCTTATCCCAGTGTAAGAGTTAGAGTGAGAAGCCAGCATCCATCTTTAACAACCTGTTCCAAGAGACAGCTACATGGACTGTTATATTTATACCTTATTTTTCCATTTAAGCTTGATTAGCACTACTACTCACTTTTTGCAATAAGACCCCTGACTGAAGTTATTTCCTCCCCCAGTGTTATATTTTCTCACAAATGATTAAACTAAAACGAGCAGCCTTTTAACCTCTTCTTTATGAGGGTAAGACAACAGAATACCATCTTTCATGATGGAGCATATGCAGGTTTTTGATGAAGCTTCTTTGGTTGTCATGGCTTCTACAGCCTTCAGTAACTGATTCCACTACACATACTCCATCATAATACAAAGAGAGATGACATAAATCACACTGTTTGTAGTTGCTAATACTTTATAGGTTTATCCAGCAGTTGCCCTAGCTTTTCTGACAACAGTGTTGTGCCACAAGCATAAGTGCAACTTGTTATCCGTAATACACCATACATCCCTTGTAGGGTCACTGAACAACAGGATAAAGCTTTCCAATAAATATTTACATGCTTTATTCCTAAAGCAATAGCTTTATCTTTGGAACTGCCAAAAAGGATATTGGCTTTTGCTTAGCTTATGTAGTTCTAGGGATTACTGTATTGTAACTTGTCATGTCTCTTATTGACTGAAGGTTAAGGATAAGTGAATATCCACTGCATATACACACTGCACTGTAACATACTGCACAGGTATTAGAAGTAGGTCACATTTTCTCCAGGGAGGCCTCGAGAAACAAAGGAAAGAGCACTAACTTTACACATTTTTAGAGGCAGTTTTGCATCTAGTTCAAAATTACATCTCCCAAGAGGCAACATTTTTACATTACATTTACATTAAGACATTACAGTAAGTGGACATGCTCATTCTTACTTGAAGTTAGCAAGTTAAGAAGTATAATAAAACATATTATGCCCAAGAAGTTAATTTTGCCTTAGCTTTAAAGCCAGTGCTGAAGCACTACACCACAGAACTTGTAGAAATTACTTGATCCACTGGAATATTACCCATGAAAAATACAGAATTCACAAAAAGGAGCCTTGTGAATATTTTAACACAAAGGAATGAACAGCTGCAAATACACAAGTCTCTCCAATTTTACAGGCGTACTAACAGAATGTTGTGCCTTGCTTTGTCAAGCAGATTCTGGCTTTGCATCATTGCTATAAATGAAAGGAAAAATGGATAAAGAGCACAAACAGTCAGAGAACAGAGACCAGATCCTAGAAAATCCTGCTATTTTTCCATCCTTGAAGTAATGTGAAAAACAACATTAACAACTGAGCTAGACACTTAATTAATGCCTTAATATTGTAATCAGTTATCAGAGTTCTGCCGCAATAGATTAGTCCCAACTCTTCAGACAGAGCACATGGGCAAGAAATAGAACTGGGGTTGGACCTCCTCACTGAATGAGGCTAAAAACTGTAGAGTTAGCTATGGCCCTGAAAAAAAAAAAAAAGAACAAAAGCTCTAAACTAGCTAAAGTCACTAGAACAAAGCTTCACTATAATATCAAGGCCACTAAAAAAAAAAAAAAACAACAACAACGATAGTGGGCCCCATTCTACATGGTACCAGCTGGCATTATTTCAGTTCATTTCAAAAAAGACCATTTGTTTTTTCTTAAAATGTGAGACTTTGTACTGCAGAACATCCAAGCAGCCACACAATATTTTTATTCTGTAAGAACTATTTGCAACTGTGAAGATGGAAAAATTCTTTCTTAGAAAAGCAAAATACTCCATCAGAAAGCTTTGCATTCATAAATGGGAAATTATACTAATGCTCTGTACATTAGAGCATTAGAAATGTAGAAAAGTTAGAAATGTATTAACTTCAACGTCTAACATCATCCAGTTTTGGAAGCTGACTCAGTACATGAAACAGTTCAGGTTTATTAAGACAAACACTGAAATACAACTATTCAACTGGCAAAAGTATGATGCTAAAGAGCATGTGCTAAAGGATCACTAAATATTACAGCTAATTTGGAGTTTCTAGCTGTGTTTCTATGGCATTGAATATAATACTTCAAGGCTATGTAGCTACATTCTTTATTAGGCTGGAAAAGATGAATCACAAGAAAAACTATATTTAGTAAAAAGGGAAGGGAGCACTAATTACTTTTCTGGATGGAAAAAAGAGAGAAAGTACCATGCTAAATTTAGGGGAAAATAGTGTTATCTATCATAAAAAAATAGAAGAGGAATTTAATTTTCTGTTTCTAGTCCCAAAACACTTTGTTGCTTATGAGTTTCCTCAGCTGAGCTAATAGACATCATGTTGTTAGCTGTATCATCCTCTATACACTCTTATATGACAGTTTACATGTGGACATAAAACGTAGTGTCAGGCTATACCTAAACTAACATTAGTTCAGCCAAGTATCAATAAAAGCAACAAACAGAATTAGCACTTTGTGCAAAGTATTACGCTTGCTGTGTGACAGAAGCCCTGACTCTTAAAGGTATCAAGCAAAGTACTCAGTCACAATTAATATGTAGACATTTGACACCCAAGAGAGTAAAAGGCAAAAGCATTAGACTCATGTTATGACTACAGGAAATTAAAAACATACTGCCACAGTACCAGAGTTACAGGTCAGAACTGATTTACCCAGTAATTCCAGACTCAAATTCATAACATCTGCTTGGCTACAGCACCTCTTTCAGAAAGACATCTGCTATTCACTCAGGGGACATAGGGCTTTCCAGTGATCTTCAGTATCTTTCAAAAGGGGCTTTTCAATGACTAATTAATTACAAGCAGCTTTTAATTCAGCAAATACACACTGATGCTAGGGAAACTAATTTAGACTGCCAACTCTCTTGAAAAGACCTGGAAATTGCTGCAAGTAGAAACATCATCTGAAGACTTTTCTGTCTCCTGGCAGACAGAAACTAGCACCAGGTGTCCTGACTGGCATAAACACCAAAAACAAACCCAACATGAAGTCCTTAAAACTCTGCCAGATTTTGGAACACCATCTGCCACTTAATCAGCTGCGATTCCTCCCTCTACCATACAAGCAGACACACACATCAACATGCTTAGATAATTTCAACTCCTTATTCAAGTGCAGTCTGTGGTGATACAGAGACAGCTCACACCAAAAGGGTATCTATCATGAACCTTCCAGAAAAACCTGTTATTCTGCATGATTATTCTATTTTTTTATTTTTTTTTTAAAGCCACAACACATGAGCTTTAATCATCGCTTACCTCACTGTGGCTAAACAGCAAAAACTACATCCAAATTTCATTGCCATACTTTTTTTTGGTTACAGTTAAAACCTCCTTATGCTTCACTGGAAACAGAGCAAAACAGATAGCACAGACTGCATATTCTAAGAGCTGGGTAGCCAGAAGACAGCAAGTAGAAAAAAAACCAAGACTTTTCTTCATATCCCCTGAAACTGGAATCAGTGACGGTTTATGCAATTACCCGTTGCAAAACTGTTCTCCCAAGAAAAGAACCAATATACTAATATAATGTATAAACCTAATTTAAGTTACACTGCAGAAAATGTAAAAATGCATTCTGAAAACTCACCAGAACCCAAATGAGATAGGCTTTGGTGTCCATTTCTTCCAGGAGTACCTACGATGTTCAGAAGAAAGAAAAAAAAAAAAAAGAAAAAAAAAGAGAGAAACAGAGAGAGACAGAGAGAGAGAATTACACTTCAAGCTAGTAAGGGCCAGTGGGGGTGTCTTGGTTGGGGTTTTTTTTGCCCTTTTTTTTTTTTTTTTTTTAAGCTCCTCAAACTTCACAATTTCAGTTTCTTTCTTGTGATGGCTGATGGCATGTGCAACAACAAGATTTAGCATCATAAGGTTAAACTACTTGGAAAATGCGTAATGAATTCCCAATAAGCCAAACATTTTTTTTTCCCATTACAATTATCATACTTCATTTAAGCCAGGTAGCACCATTTTATTTTACTCATTCATACAGGACCACAGATAATAAAAAACAATTGTCTATACCAGCATCATAGTAAGTTTTTTTCCATCTATATGCTCCATTTATTTTATTTGTATAAAGGAGGTATAAGTTAACAGCACTCTGAAGTGTGCTACCAATCAGATCAGATATAAATGAAAGCACAGAGAAGATTAATCTACCCTTACTGTATTGTTTTAAAGTCACATGAAAACCGACCTAAGAACCTCATTATTTTGAAGGATATTAATTAAATGAAAGTGCTCTTTTGAACTGCTAGGTATAAGTCCAAAAGTCACGTGCAGAAGTTTATAAAAGGTCTGTTGACAACACCTATCAGCTTTCTTCAGCCTTTACAAATAGTGTGTGATCCTATAGCAGGTGTTTCAATAGGAAACAATCTGCTTTGTATGGCTACTGTACTTGTTTCCCTCACCTCAGCCATAAAAATGGAACTTTGCTCCCAAAGTGAAAATTTTTTCTTATAAAGCTTGCCTGAGGATTCATACCTATTCTTTTCATTCACTCTGGTAAAAATGACTAATTTCAATTGAAAGTTAAAGATAAAACAAGCATCTAATACAGAAATGTAATCTGGTCTGGGTTTTGTCTTGCAAGTATATGATCTTATAAGCAGGTGACAGAACATCTTTTAACAGACATTATCAAGTATTCGGAGTCCTCATGGGATGCAAGTTTCAAGCAGATAGTGGACAACGAATGCCCTGATTTTTTCCTCCCAGATTAAACAAATACATAAGGAACACTTTGCAGACTCAGTCTCTAATACCATGAACCACAAGGAAAAAGAGCAGATTGACTATCTCAATTACTCTGAAGTCACAGAGCACAGCTTCTCTCGACAGAGGGATTCAAGAATGTGAGTGAAAAATTGACTTTACCCAACAGCTGATTACCTCTAGCCTCACTGACTTTCCTTGCTGAGTGCAGTGGCCCAGATGATTTTGGTATGCACTGGTTCAGTGAAGCAGACCTGGCCTTGGCTCCTGGAAATAAAAGCTTAGATCAGGTTTAAAAGTAGAACTACGTCAGCAATTAAAGACATGCCTAATATTACATATTTAAAAGTACAAGATGCACAAATCTACTCAAACAAATACAAAAGAGAGACACCCTCTAGAAAACTGAAGCTATATTTAAACTTAGCTTTGCTTTACCAGAACTCATATTGGAAGAAATAAAAAGATACTTTTAATAAAGCTTCTAAGCAGAAGAAAATGTTAACAAAGATTTCACTCTAGGACTAAGATCGAATTACTTAATTCAGCAAATACAACACAGCTACGGAAACATTGGCTGAAAGGGACCTCCAGAGGCCAGCTATCCAGCCTCCCACTCAGAGCAGGGCCACCACCAAGATGAGATCAATTGACCATGCTTTTGTCTAGCTGAGCCTTGCAAACCTCCAGGAAGGGAGGCTCTACGGCCCCACTGGCCAATGCTGCATCTCCCACTCCACAATTTGCAATCATTTCCCATTGCCACATCATCTGGTACTACTGAGAAGAGTTTGGCACCATCACCTTTGTAGCCATCCTTTTCAAGTTACCGCAGACTGTTATAACTCCCCTTACTCTCCTTTTTGCCTGACTACACAAGCTCAACTCCCTCAACCTCTCCTCACAGGTCCTGTGGTCAGAGACCTCAATCATCTTCCTAAGTTTCCAGTTGACCCTTCCAGTTTCAAAACAACCCTCTTGAACTGGGAAGGCCCCAAAACACAACAGAGTAGTCAAAGTGACATAAAGCCGAGGGGGGAATTCCAGCTTCTTCTGGCCACACTGCTCCTGGAAGTGCTGAAGGCACAATTCTAGCACCCAGGTCACTGAAGATGTTGAGCAATGCATCAGCTTGTCAGACAGCCATATAATTTGTGTTTGTTTCCAAGTAATTTACCGTTTGTGGCAAAGTCTGTTTCTTTTCACTGTTTGCCATTTTAAAGCACATCATTCTAGCATGACATTTGGCAGGCATCTCTTCTATTTATTCTCAATTATGTCAGATACCAGCTTAAAACTTAAGCCTAAAGCAGAAGCATAGTATTCAATTAGGTTTATCCAATTACGATAACCAGTTCACCACAAAGATGGTCAGAAGCAAGCTGATTATAACTAGCATTTAGGAGAGAGAGACAGCAAGCTTATTTATCTGTTCTCATTATGTCTTTAATTTTGGCCAGAGAATGAGTTGTCAACTGCTGTTTGTGGCTGGAGTGGAGAAGCACTGTTGGCTGATCGAGAGGTCCTGGCTCGAATAGGAATAGGAACCAGAACAGTGTTTCATACAAAGTCAGAAAGTACATTTAAATTAATGTTTCCTTTAGCACCAGATGATGAACCACAACTGTCTTATCTCCGTTAACAATTAGAGCAAACCTCTGCTTCCACTTCAGCCAGTAAGAATATCAAGAAAAAGCAGCATGAACAGCTGAGCTGTTTCTGGGGCTCTTCCCTTGGAAAGATGGGACAATGTCAGTCACCCAAGACTGACTTACTCCATCTAATAATACCTTCTTTAAAAAAAAAATATCCCCATCCCCCAAGGTCCTTACTGTCCTGAAAGGGGTGAAGATAATGCAAACTGTGCATGAGGATGAGGACAACCATACACTCAAGATAAATCCAGGGTAGGTCTACCCCACAGATCACCAGCAGCCACAGAGTCTGTGCCTGAGCTTTATGACAGAAAAGAACTCTTATTAAAACCGCGTAAACCTCGCACAATGACACATGCCATGTAGCAAAGCGTGTTTAGTCCCTGTGCCATGCAAACCTTAGCCATATCACAGTGTGGATGTCCTCCTCGTTTTCCTGAAATATCCCAGTCAATTATGACAATACAAAGGATGTTTTAGACTTCCTATGAAACCTTATAAAAAACTTGAGACACCACTGATGTAATTTTACTCCCTCGCACTATTTTCCAAGACCACTCTTCAATAAAAACTGCTTCAGGAGGCAGCCACCTGCAAAAGTTAAGGTACTGTAACAGTAATAACTATAGTTCCACTCTATCTACAAACGGACTCATATACCTTTTGGAGTTGACTTCAACGAGTGAAATCTAGGTTTTGGTACAGCTTTCAAAGGGACAGATCCTAAAGTACCATTCTGGCAGTCTGGTTTTGCAGGCCATTCTCCATTCTTGATGATGACTGTGGCACTTGCAGCTGCAACACAGAACAACAAAGAATTTGCTCTAGACAGCGTCTAGTTTGGGGAAAATTAAATCCTAAAACAAGCCTTTTTTACCCGAGGCTAAAGTTAGGAGAAACACACGTTGGAATGAATCATAGAATAAAAATATTATGACCACCTCTGATTTCTTCAGTACAAAGAGACTGATGAACTGTAACAGAACAGCCTATGACTGTTACAAACACTTCTCAGAACCAGACATACAGCTTTGAACTATGTCTAAGAGGGGGATATGTATAGAAGTATATTGGTCAAGATACATAACTGGAAGCCTGATCTTGCTGTACAAAGCAAACGCAGAACATATTTCAAGTTTAAGCCAAGAAAAAGCATCATCAGTACAGAAGGACGTTCTGGTGACAGAATTGACTGTTAAAATAACAAAACCCAAATAAATGTCAGACAAATTCCTCACACAACACCTTCCCTTGTTCTCTCTCGTTTGAGAGCTGAGCGTGCTGTTTCAATAATATGGTGCACGCACCACCAGCAGACTCTACACCCCTTCCACCCTCCTTGTGGGGCACGAAAAAACATGTGAGCCCAACTGCGTTCACCAGCTACCAAACAAGTTTTAAGAAAGGTTCCTGTAGTCTCTGTTCATAACAGCAACCTCCTAAGTGACAGCAGACCTCGGAAGACTCCCCGCCCCACAAGAGCTGATGTCATACAGCAAAATACTCCCTGCAAAAAGAGGCAGACAGACCCAAATTGGGAAAGGCAGGACAATAAGCAACTGCTACCTCATGTCAAAATCAGGTTTCCAACTAACAGGACAGTTGCTACAGAAGACGTTCTGTACCATTTCAAAGGAACTTGAGAGAGGTTTGGACTTATTGTCACAATGAAAGCTTTTCCTTGAAAAAAAAGAAAACCAAAATTTAGGGAAAGCATAGTTTTATTTTTCCAGAAAAAATATGAAAATACTTCTAAAGTAAGTATAGCTTGAGTACACTTTGGTTCAGGTACTGAAAAATTATATATACTGACACATTGAAGAGTAAGAAATTGACATTGCGTTTACCAGAGAAAGGAAAAACTAAGGCGGGGGAATAGTTTGTTACACTGTTGCTTTTTCTCTCTAGTCCTTTAAAGGGAAAAAAACAGGGGATGGAGGGGTGGGGGTGGCAATACCAGATTTGCTTCAGATAAGTGTTTTAATGAGGCAGGTTACCTTTAAAAAAAATGTGAACTACATGTCTAATATCATTCATTAAAAATGGAACATACAGTCTTGAGATTATTTCAGTGTCTTTAAATGCACCAGCTTAAACCATGTAAGTTAACTACTTCAAAAAGATGCTTTTTGGCCACTAATCAATACATTTTCAACCACAGAAAGAGAGACAGAACTGCTTTCCCTTTTAGAAACATATGCAACTGTAGTCTCCCTCTTTGTTTTAAATAAAGTTGGAGCCTCTCTAAAGGCACAAAAGCTAAATATTTGCAAAGAGATCTATACATGAGGAACATTAGTATAACACATCAACAACACAGTTATTTTGCAGGAATCTCACCCTGCTCAACATCAGATTATTCAAATGACTTTGTTTCAGTAAAGCACGAGGCCTGAAGCAGTCCTTAACTTTTTCTGTAAAACACTAAACTACGGATTTCCGCTCAGAGTTCACAGCAAGCAGCTAACAACCGCCTACAAACTGCTACGCTACCTTCTTCTGAATCAGAAGCATGCCATGGAAGTTAACACTTTGGGTAAGCGAGCACACTTCTGCTGCAGGACTAGTTAGGGTACTGTTTTGTCTAATTAGCTCTGGAGTCAGCTAACCAGGCTGTGTGCAGAAAAAAAGGCAAATTTGCAGAGTTTGGTCACTATATGATTCAAAGATGGTTATTCACAGGAGTAGCTACTGCAATCTTGATCAAAGACGGACAGGTATGAAGTGATCTTGCTCCAGCTAAGATCTAAAGGGCTTAAAAACACAACTTATTAAAAGAATTTAAGTATTGACTGTACAGAAATGCACCTCCAGGTCAATTGCTAGGATCAGCTTTTTAACTTCTGAAACACTACTTCTTTTATATGCAATTATTCTAATGCAATTCAAAGTTGGATTCTTGTTCTTAACCTCAGAGTTTAAACATTTCAGTATGTTCAAATGACAGTATCTTCAGCTCAGCACTGAAATTGAGAAGATTTCTCTACTGTTACAAATTCAGGTTTTCGATGCTCAGACTGACAGCTTGCATTCAAAATATGTTTTTATTAATAACAGCATTTCAAACTTCATGATTTCCAAACTTATAAAATAGTAAGTCTTTCTAGAGAGAAGAATCATAAAACTCCAGTGCTCATTAAACAAAAAAAATCCTAATGCTGCCACAGGAAATTACCAATCCAAGGACACCCCCTAACAAAGGGCTGAGCTGACACAGCAGGAGAAATGCTCTCTTTTTACATTTTTTTCTCTGCTAACACAAGGCAAACTCCTTAAGCAAAAAAAGCCAAGCGACTTCGTCAATTTAATACTGTTGACAGGACCGCAATAGATAGTCATAAATTTCATGACATTCACAGCATAAGCCTCCCGTCTTGGTCTTTGTGTGTCCTACCAATCTCATAAAAACATTTTAGGTTTACAAATATTTTTTTCCTGACATTATTTTATAGTAGACTAAATGAAAGAATAAAAAATAAGAACAGCACTACACTTAACATTAGAGTACAAAGTAAATTCATTAGTTCTTTCCAAATTGATTTGAAGTCATAAAAACTTCACTTTACTAACATATAATTCATATGTAACCTAAACTCATTGTACTCACAAAACCTGACCATCAGACATAAATCATTCTCATCAAGTGTAAGAAATTAACTAAAGAAAAATTATCTCGCAGAAAATCCGCAAATCAAAACATTGCATACATTTATCAACCTCCACAAAACAAAAAACAGACTTTAAAATAGAAATTAAAAGGAATACAACCTACTTCTTTTCCCAGTAAAGGTGGCTAACAAAGGAATAATACAAAAGCTGTAAGATCCCACCACCAGCAACGTCAGTAAGGTAATATCATAGTGGCTTCCTGAGTCAGTCGGTGGTGTTAGTGTAGAATTGATGAAAATAATAGGAGAAAAATTAGTTTCTGTGCAACTGCGGAGTCCTCCTGGTATAGTCATTTAAAAAAGATCAAAGCAACCTTAAAGCCAAAAAGACTGCAGCCATATTCAACCTCTCACATTGCTCTTGCTTGCTCTTCGTGAATCGGAGTGGAAAAAATTGTAAGCTTGAAGGCAGTGGACAAAACAGATTAAACCAACTAGCAAATCAGGCTAAATAAGGAGTCATCTGTTTAGATACTTAATCTGAATACGCTTCTTTGTTATGAAGCGATGACCCTTTCCTTTGTTACATGAGGGAGTAAAATGAAGAGAGGACAAAGCTGCTTAGGAATTCCAGATACAGTCCTAAACCTGAACAGCAAAAGTCAACATGGCTGTCACAGCAACCGAACCGACCTGATTACACAGAAACATGCACTGCATATTTTATTACACATACTCTTACTCCTTTGAGGAATATGTTAGGTCGTAGTTTTTTAATGAAGGCACTACAGGGGGGGAAAAAAAGAGCAAGAGAAATTTTAGTTATATATGTATGTATGCATATGCGCATACATAAACTATAGACATATGTTAAATCACAGTTCTCTTTTTCAGTCCATTGAAGACAGATTTAAATGGCATCTGGCACAAAGCAAAGGCCTTTGCCCAGTCTCCAAGATATAACAGATGATGCAATAGTAACAGAATATTTGAATGTACTCATTTGAATATGTATAGCTGGGAATACTAATGTCTGACAGTCAGTTGTGTATTATTTCCTTCATATTTTTGCCCCTAGAATTCCTACAACTGCTGGTACAGACCCTTTGTAGAGTTTCAAATCAAAGTGAGTTCTGTTATTTTTCTTCCTAGTTTTAATCAAGGTAGATTCCGTTCAGGTCATACAGCAATGCTTAGTTACCTTAGAAATTATAGAAGTCTACCTGTGCAAAGTTTTACCTTCTAAAAGCAGTTTCTCTTAACTGCTTTTGATCTCATCTACACATTTTGTCTTAAAACACTGAAAGCAGATATAACCTAGTTCAAAAAGAGCATTTAGTATCAAAAAACTCTAACGAGCTGTTCCAAATATTACGACAGGTAATCCATTCACACCATTCAGACTTATTTCTTATTACACTATATGTAAACACAGGGAAACTTTTGCTCAAGATGACCCACTCATTTTGTACTGTTTCAGAATGGAAGAGGAGCTGTACTGAAACCTCTACTCATCAAACAGAAGTCCAAGGCTCAAAGATCCTTCAGGTTGCATGTCTCAAGAAGGAAAGTTGTAAGTTAAGAAGCAAAAAGAATAAGACCTAGAACTAATAATAAGTAGTACAATGAGAATTAACACAGCCCTTTGTCAGACAGGACTCCCTTTGTGGGGATTTTTTTTTTTTCCAACAAGCAGCTGATGCTATCAGTTAAAACCCTAACCCTGAGGATACTTACAATTACTGCTGAAAAGACTTCGCTCACTCTGAGTGCTGCTGACTGAAGAGATGCTAGGTGTTCTCTCAAGCACTGATCTTTTGACAGGCACTTGGGATTTAGTGAGCAGTTTACCAGAGCTAGCCCAGGAGGCTGGAGAATTTTTCGGAGAGGCATGCTTCTCTCTTGGCAAAGATCCTATACCTGTCAATTGGGGGGAAGGGGGAGGGAGAGAAAAGAACAAAAGGAGCTGGAAAGAAGCTTAAACAATTGCTGCTTCTAAGTATATGCCTACAAGTAAAAAGATTTACACATAAAAAAACCACATATAAAAAGGCTTAATCTACCTCATATTGACATGGTAAAAAATGGTGTAAACACAGAAAAACAGTTCCAAGGATTTAAAGAATCCCATTTTGCATATTGACCTCAGGAACAAATCAAGAGCTTTACAGACTGGCCTTCAAGGCAGACATTTGCACGCACAAGAAGTCTTTCTTGCATTTTCCTACCTCTGTGTATTATGGTTAGCTATACTGGCGATCCCATAAAAATATAACCTCCAGCTCAAAGACAATCCAAGAAAGATTCTTTTGTTTGTTCCCACCCCCAAAATGGAGATTTCCCCACACACCTTTGACAGGGAACTCTAAAAGATAGTATCTTTTCAAGGACAAACACAGCACAAGAGTATCAAATTGTGTTGTACTCACATAATATACTGAAAACTGACTAGTTCTGCAGAACTAGTTAAACAGCACTCCCTCGAACAAAGTTCTTCATGGCTAACTGGTGCAGACACATTTTTTGCATTAATAGCTGTTTTCATTTGAGCTTCTTGAATACAAATGCCCAATAGCTAAGGTAATCAAATAGGAAGTGTATCTATATAGGAGACAGGTGTGCCATCTTCAGATGGGAGCTTACTCTTGTACTACTAACAAAGCAACTACACTTTCTGCAAGAAAATTTGAGTTTAGTTAAATTATGCTTTTTGTTTATTTCTGAAAAGTGCACACCCAGATTAAAACTACAGTGGCCCAAAGGAAGTTATGTATACACAGATTTGTCTTGCCAGCACCGAGTTGACTCCTGTCAGCTTTGACATAAAGATCTTTATACAGTCCTCTGAATAAATATGGAAAAGAGTTTTTTTCATTTTTGTACAAAAACAAGAAGAGAGAGATGGAAGATAGACTTACTTTTTTAATATTTTGTTATTTATTATAACACAAGACATCTTACAAAATATCTTAACTTCTGATGTCACTACCATTTCAAGTCTGACAGACATAATTTATCTTACTTGAACAGATGACTACAGTGTTTCAGATTTGCCTTAGAACAATCAAGTTTCTATTTAAAGGGAATACCCACCCCTTTATTCTCATCACTATAAACCACATTTCAATTTTGCATAAGCTGTGTAAGAGACTGTTGAAATATGACAAAATTAGCTAGTAATTCCACTTTATTCAACATCAGTTTTGCTGCAGGATCTCCACTCAAATACTAACGACCAAGAAACCATCAATTTGCACTAAGGCCAAGAAAGCACGACATTAAGAGGATTACATTAAGATTTAGGCCACAAAACCACTTACACCCAATGTCTGCTTTTCAACAGTAGGTGGTGTGACAGGATTAGATAACTCATCTCAAAACGTCATGTATCAAGTACGCAAAAACAGGAACAGGACTAGTAGAGGAAGGTATGTCCAAGCTATTTCCTTTGGTTCAGATCAACTCAGTAACAAAAGAGAAAACCTACAGACAACATACACTAAGCATGCATTAGGATATTATATAATATTGGTCACTAAATATAATACACAAGCTTCAATGAGTCATTAAACATGCTTTATGTCAGACCTCTTGTTTGTCATTACTATGAAGAACTGTGATTCCACATATGGCTTTATTGTAACCTGGTATTAAATCTCTGAGACAAAATTATCAGTCGTATTTTAGAATTTTTTGTAAGTTACTGCAATGGACGCTTGAATATATCCAAGTCACTGAAGTGCATACAAACTTTGTCATGCTATGAGAATGCCACAAACCACAAGCTCACACTTATGAAAACACCTCCGAAACACAGCACTCCAGACAACATATCTGAAATAATTTGTGTTTGAAAAAAAAAAGTCTGTGACATCTGAACTTCATGCAACAAATCTGACAGCTTTATAAGACTTTCCACGCTGTTTCATTAACAGATCAACATATCAGAAAAGAAATTAATCCAGACAAGTCAGAAATTCCTTTTCTAAATAGCCTCTCAGCAAAACAACGTGCAAAAACCAAACACCCTCCCTCCCCCCCCAAAAACAAACGAAAAAAGGGCTGCCATACAAACACTGCATGTTAAATTTGTATGACTTAGCAAGTTAAAGCTTTACATTTCAAAAGGCAGCTAGATGAACAAATGCAGCTTATCAGCTGCATTTTATTGTTTAAAGATGAGGATAGCATGCTTGATTGCTATTGTGCTGGATTCATCCAGTTCAAAAGGTACGGGAGCAAAACCCTGTTTTCTTCACAATGATTTTCACTCAAGAGGGGTCAAGGCAAGCATGTGAAAACATGCGGTCTCTTCTTGTACAGCATGTTCCGTACATATGATTTGCAGCCAGCCCGACTTCTCTGCACATGCTGAAATGCGGCAGTGCACTAAACCAGCTGTGAGCAAAAACCCATTCTGTGAGCACAGCAAAGTCTAGGATGTCCAGTTTCAGAAGCATGTCAAACGGATGACCTTTGACCTCCTCTTAGTTCTTCTACTCCTCAGCACTTTCCTATAAAGCTTCTATTAAAATAATTACTCAAGCACTCAAATACATTTTTCAAAAGCCCAGCTTGAGGGAGGATTTCTTTTAAGTTATGACACAAGATTATTAAACAAGTACTCATAAGTGTTACTTCAACTAATAACAATGGTTTTACAAAGTATTTTTGTAAGTATCATCCCCTAAGAAAGGAGTCACACAATTAAACGCAAAGGTTTTGAAGGCAGAAACAGGAAGATATGGTATATAAACAAAAGTACTGGAAACAAGCACAAAAGCAGGATATTTAGTGACCCATTATTATAAAGACAACAAGCAATAGCATCAAAGCAACAGGCTTTCATCAGTTGTTTAATCTAGTCACTGAAGTGGAATACTAGAAATATCACATTCCTCTACCGTGAAGTAACGAGTTGGCAATTCCTTAGAAAAAAGTCTCTATGCAACAACCACATTACTTCAAGTACGTTAAAGTATCTCTTGTATTGGAACAGAAACAAGCAAAGAACAAAACTCCTTTTTCAAGAATCTCTGAAGTCAGATTTCTTATCCTTACTCAAATACTCATCCTCTCAAATGAATCTCTCATAGGTGGTTATTGTCCAGAATAAATTAAGGCTTCCCTTCCCTTAAATAACACTGGGAGCCTAAAAAAAAAAAATCAAATTGAGAGAATAAATATACACTAGCAGTGGTGAACTTGGGACTTTGTTGACACCAGGCAGACTGTAAAGTTGAGTATGTATTCACCAGTTCTGATATTCAACATCCACCATTTCAAACCATATCTACACATTTCACATCTACAACTGAGCACAGAGCAATTGGCATTCATGGAGCTATACAACACCTGGAAATTGGGGAAAGGCTTTCCACCACTCAACAGAAACTTAGGGCAGACTAAGTGCAAAAGGAGTCTTTGGAAGGATGCTTTTTATTGTTGTTTTTGTTTAACCCTAAAGCTAACAGTAACGGTTGGTTTGGCCTTTTGCTGCCTTATCTCTTGAGTATGTTTAATTTTGGATTTTTGTCTTATGCTTTTCTGATTTTTTTCCTGCAAGTTTAAAAATCCAGAGGGCTCTATTTTAGAAGTGCTAAACTTCTTAGCTTTTAAAAAAAGACAATTTTAAGCATGATGAAAAAGCCTGATCTAAGCCTATAGTACAAGGCCTTTGTAAAGCAAGGGGAGTAAACCTTCAAGAAAATATGCTATTTTTTGGCATCTCTTGAAAGGAGCAAGTAAATCGTGGAAAGACAAACTGGACTTTGGTATTGTTTCCAGTAGACCGATCTTAACATAGTTTTAAGATCATTTATGGTTACTATTTTGAGCACTGTAAAGCAGTAGCAGTACTAACAGATTTCTGACGGCTGCAAGCTCCCCGGGTTGCCTGATTAGCCATTCAGCAATATTAGTTATAGTATATTATGCTACACATATATCGGTGTTCCTTCAAGGAATAAAGAGTAGTTACAGCACATTTCATAATTCTACCTAAGATGTACAGATAATCTCTTTCTAGTTATCTCTCCCTTTTAAAGTCTCAAATTACTACCAAAATTACCAAAGAAGAGGCAGGACACAGTTCTGTTATGTTGCTAGTAATGCCTCAACTGCGAAAGAAACACGGACAAAGGCAGTGAATGTTAAGTTACTGCTGGATCTTGAAATATTTACATGAGATGGATTTATTTGTTTAGGGGATAACAGCCGATAAGAGAACAGTTTACATATTAAGGCAAGACCCAATTCCCCATCTGATGCAGACTTCCACAGTGTTGTTCCCATTCACCTACAATCCTTATGAAAGTGCTCCTCTTTGGCACAGGTATCAAGGAACCAGCAGCAAGCTAGCGCCAAAAACATAACAAGGCTGTCAGCAGCCATGCGGGTAGGCATTCATGTGTTCTTCCTCTTGCAGCTCAGTATTCTCAGAGTAAAACTGGAGAACTGATCATCAGTGCTACAGATCATTATATTAGCAGTTAACAACAACTAAACCAACCCTTTTCATTCTCTCAAATGCTCTCACTGTCAGAAGAGCAATTGGGGTATTTTCAGTTAGGGGGAGAGAAAGGGAGAGAACAACATTCATGTACGTCTACTGTTAAATTTCACTTTTTCCCCTTCCTATTTGGCCCAGTTTTGAAATGTGGCAGACTTCCTCCCAGTTAAACCCTTCCACGATCAGAGAGACTCCTCCCTTGCCCATATTCCCTCAAGGCTCAACGCCTTGCATGTGATCTCTCCAAGCACCTACAAATAGCCCTTCTCTTGCCCGGCCTCCAGTCCGAACTCTGTCCTGCCCTCCCACCTCCAGTACTGTCTGCCATCAAGTTGCCTGCCAGATTTACTCAATTTTAGGTTTTTCTTTTGTAGACTGAGCTAGAGCAGCCCCATGAGAGACCATGTCC